TATATATATATATATATATATATATATATATACCAATTTCTTTTTTTTTTGCTAAGCACTTCTGGAGTGATGCAAACTGCATTTCGTTGCTTTGTACTTGTGACATGTGCAATGACAATAAAGTTGAATTCTATTCTATTCTATAAGTAGAGCGATGCCCTTATAATTGGAGCACGCAATCTGGTCTCCATTTTTGAAGAGGGGAACCACCACTCCGTCTGCCAACCCAGTAGCATTGCCACCGATGTCCACTTGATGTTGCAAAGGCATGACAGCAAAGACAGCCCCAAAACATCCAGAGCCTGATGGAAATCTGGGTGAAGCTCAACAACCCTTCGAAGCCCTGCCAGCACAGAGCTTTTTAACTACCTCATGACCTCAGCCACGGTTATGGACAGATCAACCCTGAAGTCGCCGACTTAGCATCCTCCATTGAAGATGTGTCAGTGGGATTCAGAAGGTCCAAGAAGTATTCCTTCCACCTTCCTACAACATCACAGGTTGAGGTCAACAGCACCCCACCTTCACTGAACACAGTGTTAGTAAAGATTTGCTTTCCCTCCTTAGCTGCCTCATGGTTTGCCAGAATCTCCTTGGAGCCAACTGAGAGTCTCTATCCAAGGACTCACCAAACTCCTCCCACATCTGAGCTTTTGCCTCAGCAACAGCCAAGGCTGTGGACCACTTGGACCCCCGGTACTCCTCAGTTGCCTACGGAGTCCCACCAGCCAACAAGAACCGATAGGGAGGCTGTCAAGCTGGAGAAGGAGCCCTAACCTGGGATGTACACTAGTGAGTTCGAGGATGGCCACCACGAGAAGCACCAACAATCTTGTGGCCATTGCTCAAGGCAGCCACTTCAACAAATGAGGTGCATAACATGGCCCACTCGGTCTCAATGTCCCCTGCCTCAGCTGGGATATGGTTTAAAGCTCTCCCAGAAAAGTGAGTTGAAGATCTTTCTGACGGGTTCTTCTGCCAGGCATTCCCAGCAAACCTCCACTACACATTTGGGTCTATGGGGTCTGTCCAACATCTTCCTCCACCACCTGATCCAACTTACTACCAGCTGGTGATCAGTTGACAGCTCAGCAAGTCTCTTCACCTGAGTGTTCAAAACAAATGGCCTCAAATGAGACGGTACAACTACATAGTCAATCATCAATCTATGACCTAGGGCATCCTGGTGCCAAGTGCATTTATGAACACTCTTATGTTTCATTAGGGTGTTTGTGATGGACAAATTATTACTAGCACATAAGTTCAACAACAGAACACCGCTCGAGTTCAGATCATAGAGCCTGTTCCTCCCAATCACGCCCCTCCAGGTCACACTGTTGATATCCACATGAGCACTGAAGTCACAGAGCTGGCACACCTTCCAGCACCCACACCAAGGACTCCAAGAAGCCCAGATACTCTGAACTGACATTTGGCGCATAGACACAAACAACGGTCAGAGCCCCACCACCACCTGAAGGCACAGATAATCTACCCTCTCATTAACCAGGGAAAACTCCCACACACATGCACCAAGTTGGGCGGCTAAGAGTAGACCCACACCAGCTCAGTGCCTCTCACGATGGGCAACTCCAGAGTGGTGTATGTTATTTCCCCTCTCAAGAAGATTAGTTTCAGAGCCGATGCTGTGCATTGAGGTAAGCCCAACTATATTTAGTCTGTACTTCTCAACCTCATGCACAAGCTCAGGCTCCTTCCCCACCAGAGAGGTCATATTCCATGACCCAAAAGCCAACTTTGGTAAGCCAGGGTCAGAGCGCCAAGGACCCCACCTTCGGCCACTGCCCATGGCGTCATGCACCTGACTCATATGGCCCCTCCTGCAGGTGGTGGTACAGGAAGGCAACCTATGTTACTTGTTCAGGCTGAGCCTGACTGGGCCCCATGGGTAGACTCGGTCACCAGGTACTTGCCTATGAGCCCCTCCCCCAGACCTGGCTCCAGGATGGGGCCCCGGTAACCCACATCTGGGCAAGGGCCACTGAACTACTTGTTTGTTTCTGTCCATAAGTCTTTTGATTTGCTCTTTGTCTGGCCTGTCACCTAAGACCAATCTGCCTTGGGAAGGCAGAGGGGGCATTTACAATTGTTCCCTACAGCATAGCTCTTAGGATCATTCAGGTGCACAAATTCCTCCACCATGATAAGGATTCAAGGAGGAGCATTTGTAGCCACGTCTAGGATTTGTCTGTGCACAGTGGCTCTTGATGAGCTGACTTCAGCCCACTTCTTGTGAAGCTCCCCTAAATGATTCTTTTTGGCAATATGCTCAAGGCTGTGGTTATCCCTGTTGCTTGTACACTTTTCCTACCACACTAATCAAAATGACCAGAAAAAAGCTTGAAATATTTCACTCTTTGTATAATAAATTAAACTAATATGATTTTCACTTTCAGAAATGATTGATTCTGTTCATAATTTTTTTGGACATAATTTCTCAGTGCAGCCATGGGGCAGAGAGTTTCCAGTTTGGTGGCCTCAGGATTCCATCTCTGCTCTTTGCAGATGATGTGGTCCTGTTAGCGTCATCTTGCCGTGATCTTCAGCTCTCACTGGAGTGGTTTGCATCTAAGTGTGAAGTGGCTGGGAATCAGCAACTCCAAATCTGAGGCCATGGTCCTCAACCAGAAAAGGGTGAATTGCTGTCTTCAGGTAGAGGGTGAGGTTCTGTCTCAAGTGGAGAAGTTCAAGTATCTCAGGGTTTTGTTCACAAGTGAGGGAAGAATAGAATGTGAGATTGACAGACGGATTGGTGCAGCATCTGCAGTATTGCGGACTGTACCGGTCCGTTGTGGTGAAGCAAGAGCTGAACTGTAAGGCTCTGTGTTTAATGGTCAGTCTACATTGTTACCCTCAACTATGGTCACAATCTCTGGGTAGTGATGGAAAGAATTTGATTGTGGATACAGGAGGTTGAAATGTGGGGTAGCTGGACTCTCCCTTAGAGATAGAGTGAGAAGTTCAGTTATCCAGGAGAGACTCAGAGAAGAACCACTACTCCTCCACATTGAGAGGAGCCAGTTGAGGTGGTTCGGGCATCTGGTAAGGATGCTTCCTGGGTGCCTCCCTAGGGAGGTGCTTCATGCATGTCCAACTGGGAGGAGAACCCGGGGAAGACCTAGGACACGCTGGAGAGACTATGTTTTTCGGTTGGCCTGGGGTCCCCCCAGAAAAGCTAGAAGAGGTGGCTGTGGAAAGAAATGTCTGGGCCTCTCTACTCAAGCTGCTGCCCCTGTTACCTGACTTCAGAATAAGCGCAAGATAATGGATGGATGGATATATGGATGGATGAAATGATTGACTAAATAACTGAATTTTTTCATGACATTCTAATTTTCTGTACCAAAATGCCATAAAAGACCAACACATACACTGTGGAAAGACTTACCCCCAGGAGATGACTCGCCATGGTTGACTTAAAACTGCAAAGAAGCATTAAGTGCAATTCTCAGTTTCAAGATTGGAAAGTTTCTTTAAAAAAAAAAAACTTTTAATAATTGTATACAGTACAGTGGGTTACAGGTTGAAGTATTAAAACAGAAATTAGTATTTTGGTGTATGTTGGTGTTTGAAAAAGTATGAGTAAATAATATGTACTTACGTGGGCTGGGCGGAGGAGCTATACGAGATAAATAGATTTTTCAAAATTCAGTTTTGTGTCAAAGTATAAAAATTGTGTTCTGAATTCTGTCAGTTTCAAAGAGGTGGTTTCAAAGGGTCTTTAAAAGTTTAATGTATACATGGGGGGAGGGGTATTTTGTTAAACAGCTGTCAAAAAATAAGTTGTTTCAATGTTTTATCCCATAATATCAGTACAAAACCTTTTTTAGTTTATTAGTACTCTTTGGTACAGCAACACTGTAACTTTATTATTTAAACTTTAAAACTCCTAAAATGCTAAACATTTTGTCAGAATGATACAAAACTGATGTATTTAAATTAAATTAAGACCTGAAAATATTGCAACACAACCGTAAAATATAATGTTACCCATATTTTTAGTGAAGTTATTGAATTTTTGTACTCACGAGGGGCTTCTGTTGAAGAGTTACTTCCTCCCATAGCTGGGATGAGAAAAATTATACAATGAAATACACACAGAGAGAAAGAAGATAAGCACCTCTTGCAATGTTTGCCATCATTTTCTGAAATCTATTTGACTTAATATTAATGCTTTAAATAAACAGAAAGCAAATTTTATAATCTGAAAATAATCTCTCTCTTTTTTTTTACTAATCATATACACATATGAATACACAACATGCCGGTAAACGCATAGAGCATCTACAGGCAAGTAAAAAAATAAACCAGGGAAGCTATTGTTTTGTTTAAGTATAAATGTATATTTAATTTATAATTTATATAAATAAAAACGTGTTTAAATTCCAAAATGTATTTACTTTACAGTCAATTCCTGTAGCTCTTTTTTGAAATAATAAATTATATTGTTTAGAAACTTACTTTGAATGTTGATGTGCTGAACCTGTGAGAAATATAAAAGGTATGACATGGAAAAATAGAAAGTGCACCTTTTTATACGTAATTTATATTCACTTTCACTTTCAAACAGGTTTCTCTAGAAAATGAGTCATCACTCAATGACACTACAGTATCTGTATGGATAAAGGTTGAATTAAAAAAAAAAGAAGACCAATCACTTGGCAATGCAAACTTTCAGTTTCTTTCTGACTCAAGTTGTGGCCCATATACCATCTGTGGCCCATGTGAGTGGTGTTCTGAGGTTAGAATAATCAGACTGGAGCATAAGTTGGTACATTTGAAGGGCATACAAACCAAAGTGATGAAGCAAAAAATGAACAAGCACAGTTGAAATTGCAAAAAATATGAACTGCAAATGGCAAAGGAGGATAAAACAATTTTTCAGGATGTGGCATAAACAGGTTTGACGTAGAAACTAACTAGAAGTTGTCTAAAAAAAAATCTGGGCCTCTGGACATTCAAAAAACAAAACAAAGCAAAACAACAACAAAAAAATGTAGAAACGTTTCGTCTTTCATCCGAAAGTCTTCCCCAGTCTGAGGTGCTGTATTCAGCTCAGTCTCTTAAATAGCACCTTCTCAGAGTGGATCAACCAGTTTTGCTGCTGACAACCAAAACCAGCTGCTCACATGGTTAAGAAGGACTATCAGCCTAACAGTGGATCATTAGCACCTGATGGCTGTTTACTATTCACAGAGGGCTGAGTGATACTAGCAATAACAGTATTGTAAAGGTGCATTCACACCAGCCCTATTTAGTCCGCTTTAATGGAACTCTAGCTCGTTTTCCTAGAAAGTCCGGTTCATTTGGGGAGGTGTGAACGCGCCATCGAACTCTGTCATGGAACAAAAAGGCGAACTCTGGCCCGGGCTAAAACCTAGGTCTCGGTCCGGTAGACGCAAACTCCAGCGCGGTTCAAGTACAGTGTGAATGTAAACAGACCGGGCCCTGCTCCACAAGCAAGAAGTGGAGTACAGCGCAGGACAAACAAACACAAATTTCTCTTACCTCATATGGAGCCGTCAGCTGCCTTATGTGAAAAACAATATTCTCCATGGTCTTCTGTCTCATCTTCTGCTCATGCTGAGTCCATTTTTGAAAAATAACAAAATATAACTCCTAAAACTGCTAAAACTTGATGCTACTCCGTTTTTGTTTTTATTTCCAGAAGCAGAAGAAGTGTCTTCAGGGGTTTTTGTGTCGTTTCTTTCAGTAGTTCTTGGTGCAGCGCCCCCACAGGCGAGCCGGGGAACAGGTTGGTTCAACAGGTTGACTTGACTGCACAGTGCAGTGTGAATGCAAACGCACCAGCTCAAATGTAACAAAAGGTCATGAATATTGGTCCAGAACCGAACCGAGTCTACCGGACTATCAGGTGTGAATACACCCTAAGAAGGGGACAGTTGAACACGGTGGCCTCCACCCGTTTAATGATGGACGATTTCTTTTCACAAAGATGGCTTCCTTTACTCCTCTCTCAAACCATCGTTCCTCTCTGTCCAGGATGTGAACATCTTCATTCTTGAAAGAGTGACCGCTGGCCTGGAGATGAGTGTAGACCGCAGAGTCCTGGCCTGATGACGTTGATCTTCCGTGCTGGTCCATCCTTTTGGCCAGTGGCTGTTTAGTTTCCCCGATGTAAGACTGATCACCCTCCTGACACTGAACAACATACACAATATTACTCTGTTTGTGCCGGGGGACTGGATCTTTGGGATGAACCAGTCTTTGCCGTAATGTATTTTGGGGTTTAAAAGCCACTGGGACGTTATGTTTAGAAAATAAACGTCTCAGTTTCTCTGATACTCCCTCAACATATGGAATGACCACTGGTCTGGGTCTGGGTTCCTCCTTTTCACCTGTTGGCTGACTGGAGTCCTGTTTGGGTTTCTTCTCTGCTTTCAGGAAGGCCCAGTTAGGATATCCACATTGCTCTAGAGCCTGTCTTGTGTGGGATTTCTCCTTCTGCCTGGCTCCTGAGCTAGTGGGGATGCTGTCTGCTCTGTGGTACAGAGTCCTGATGACTCCTAACGTGTGCTCCAAAGGGTGATGGGAGTCAAACTGCAAATACTGCTCTGTGTGGGTGGGTTTGTGGTACACCTCGGTTTGCAAATGTCCTCTATCAGAGACTGAGACCTCACAGTCCAAGAAAGCCAACTTACTGACCACATCAACTCTGTGGATAAATACATCAAGTTCACACAAGAAGATGAAAAAAATGGCAAGTTGGCTCAGCTGCTGCTTCCTGCTGCTCTGGCCCCCGACCTAGGGCCGGCTTAAGGTCGCTGTTGGGTGGGTGGGGCGCATGGACGACCCGACAGAGGCTCTGTCGGGCCGTCTCTGTGTGCGTGTTTATGTCTCGGGTTGGGTTTTAGGTGGTCCCCTCTCTTGGATCAATTTGGGCCCCCCATTTAATGTGGGGTCTTCTTCCCCCTGTCGTGCTCCCCTCCGGTGGTGGGCCCCCCGCCGCCGGTGCATTGGCGGCTCTCAGCATCTGGGGCTGGGTGGTGGGGTGTGTGCAGACCCACCCTGGTGGCTGCCTGCTGGGGCCTGGGTGCCTGGCTCTGTCGGGCCTCAATTTCTCGGTTTGTCTTGTTTTGTTTTTGCAGATGGACGAGCTGCTGCTTTTCTTTAAAATTTATCAAGATAACCACCTAGAAACAATTATTTGTTTGCTAGAAATGATAGCAAAGGTGTGTCTCAGTGTAACCTTTGCTTTATAAATGCACTTTCATGGTCAAATATACCCTTTTCACATGACGTCAGACAACTTCCTGTTTAACTCGATGCTGTGGATCATTAATTCCGGGTCTATTCTCCCTCAGGAGACCTGTCTGGAAACGTGATGGAATTTCATTCATTCAGCCTTTATTTACAGAGGTTATATTACAAGATATAGTGCAAGGTAAGGTTAATAAAAACAGTATTTATGTGTTAGTTAGCTGTGGTAACGTTATCCATCATTATCAATTTACCATCCTGTAACTGTGTAAGGAAACAGCCTCCAATTGTAAAGTAAGCTAGCTAGCAGCTAACGGGTTGCTAAACTCTACACTGCTGCTGCCTGTCAGTGCTGTAACATTAAAATGTTTAACTTTATCTATTAATGTAAAATCTCTGACATCTTCCAACACTGTTGTTTAGAATAGCATTTTAAATATTGAATTAAAAACTATATGTAAAACCATTTCCATGTTCTGATGATTAATAATTTCTCTTTTTACTTTCTTCTTGTGTCCATCTTTCTCAG